TCACAAAGTGCTTACTCTCTTTCAATGCCAAAATTGAAATTTGTGTTGCCCTGAATACAGCATTAGAGACAACGTTATGGGTTCAGGTTAAGTCTTTTCTACTCTTTCACAGGCTGCCACCAAAAGAGCTAGTCCTGCTATTCTATACCTTGCCTGTATCTGTAAAAGGTTGATGCTTTCTTTCCATCAGCTCAATTATTTGGCACATTGAGGTTATTACAGGCATGGAGCCCAGTGGCACACAGAAGCCAAAGGCAGACCCTCTTCTTCTTAAAAGGAAAACTCTATGGGGTGAAGGACGTACTGAAAACATCAGGGTTTCCTCTGCACTGTAACTCACGTGCAGATTCAATCCTTAAGACTTGAGTCATTTCCTATCAACATTCACACGCGCGCTCAAGCTAAAAAAGGACCTTAGACTGAGATGTGCTATCTGGAAGAATCACGGATGGGCTGGGCCCAGGCAACAGAGTTGCAGTCTGCCAGGAGGAATACCGGAAGACACAGTGTCTGCTCTCAGGAGATCTTTGGGTGCACCTGAACGAGGGATAGCAAGCGGAATGTCTCATGCTCACCACACCAGCGATACTGTGCACTCAGTACAACTGAGTTAAGTCAGCAGGGTCATTGAAAAATATGTAGAATACAAGGCTTGACAGAGCCACCTCTGCTCTCAAGTTTGCTGTCTTCCTCAGAGTGTTGACGTATATCTTAAATAGTTATATTGTTTGCAAGCTCCTATGACACATGAATATATGTCCATGATAATCTATGGGCTTGCATTCTCTTTGTAAAACCATTTTTGGCTGTTTCCAAACAAAAAAAAAAGACTACTCACCTGCAGAGCTTTTTAAATTATTTGTAAGAACCCGCGCTTTCAGATGAGAGACTGTTTTTTCAGCTAGCATGACTTTATTGAAGATGTTTAATAGGAATCAGTCTTACAAATGTTGCTATGAATTCAGTGCAATAAAATCGCACTTGTTGCTCTTTTTTCTCAGTGAAATATCCATGTGGAAAAATACCAGTGTTGGCCAAAAAAAATGCAACTGCAGAAGGCAGAATAGTAGGTGGTCTCATCTGTCCTCACGGTGAATGTCCATGGCAAGTAAGTCTTCAAGATTCTTTATTGCATTTTTTTTCTTCTGCAATGATTATGTAAAATTCATTATTTTAAATCTATGATGTTAAAAACCCATAAAAAGTGCCATGTCTGGACAGCCAAATTTCCTCTTCACCCATAGCCAGCAGACCCACTTGTTCCAATTATGCATCTTAGCCTTGCTCTGGAGCACCTGCCTTCCTAGGAGTGGAGTGGTAATTCATCCTTCTCTGTGTCTTGATCCCTTAGTCCTTAACCTTGCTGCCAGCAAGAATTTTAGTTGCAGCTTGCAGGGGTACACTCTTGGCCACAATAGGAAGGGTCCTTACTGTAAAACGGAGCAAATGTCAATGGGAAGACTACCACTCCTGAGTTCTCCATACAATCAGCACAGTATTTCAAACATAGTTTCACAAAATGACAGAAAGAAGCAGCATAAAACCCTGACTCTACTGACATTCAGGTCAAACATATTTGAGTAGGACATAACTTTGTCTTATGTTGGCAGGCCCTTATAATACAGAATCAGAAAGAAAAGTGTGGAGGTACCCTGCTTTCACCTGAGTGGGTGGTCACTGCAGCTCATTGTTTGGACTATGCTCATGCTGCACAGCTTTGGGTAAGACTAGGTATGTATCTTTACTTCCTCACATTTTCAAGCTTCCAGTTCAGTACTCATGTTTGATTGCAGAGGGGTTACTACCGATTTACATCAGTTACTGCTGCTGTGATTGTGGCTGGAGCAATGGGCCGAGAGGAACCTCACGAAATTCAACAAAGGCGAGTGCAGGGTCCTGCACCTGGGGAGGGGAGGAATAACCCCCTGCACCAGACCTGCTGGAAAGCAGCTCTGCGAAGAAGGACTTGGGAGTCCTGGCAGACAACAAGTTGACCATGAGGCAGCAACGTGCCCTTGTGGCCAAGAAGGCCAATGGGATCCTGGGTTGCATTAGGCAGAGAGTTGCCAGCATGTCGAGGGAGGTGCTCCTCTCTCTCTGCTCAGCCCCGGATGAGGCCTCACCTGGAGTACTGTGTCCAGTTGTGGGCTCCCCAGGACAAGAGAGACATGGCGCTCCCGGAGCAAGTCCAGGGAAAGGCTACTAAAATGATTAAGGCAGTGAAGCCTCTCTCCTATGAGGAAAGGCTGAGAGCTGAGCCTGTTCAGCCTGGAGAAGAGAAAGCTGAGGGAGAGCTGATCAATGTGTAAAAGTATCTGAAGGGATGGGGGTCAGACTCTTTTCAGTGGTGCCCAGTGACAGGATGACAGGCAGCAGGTACAAACTGAAACACAGGAAGTTCCATCTGAACTTGAGTTTTTTACTGTGAGGGTGACTGAGCCCTGGAACCAGTTGCCCAGAGAGGTTGCGGAGTCTCCTTCCTTGGAGATATCAAAAGCTGTCTGAACAAGGTACTGGGCAACGTGCTCTAGGTGACCCTGCATGCGCAGGGGTGTTGGACTAGATGCTCTCCAGAGATTCCCTTCCAACCTCAACAATTCTGTGATTCTGTGTAACAGGTCTCATTCTGACAAATCAGAGTAAAAGAAAAAAAAGTGTAGACTTTGATGGCAGACGATGAGCGTCCTTTAGAAGTGTCAGCCTAGAAATTTCCTATTTCCAAAACTTCTGAGGAATCCAGGATCTGACTGACATTATCTGGCATTAATCATTTTTCCAGGTGATCATGCGTTAAATTATGATGAGAAAACTGAACAAGAGAGCGCCGTTACCAAGAAAATTGTTCATGAAGGATATAAGAACGGACAAGTCGATAATGACATTGCCCTCCTGAGACTGGAAACACCTGTGAACCTCACCGATTATGTGGTACCAATATGTTTGCCTGAAGAACGGTTTGCAGTGGACGAGCTGTCCTCCATCAAGTTCTCCACAGTGAGCGGATGGGGACGTCTAATAGATGGAGGTGCTACTTCTGCTTATCTGATGAGAGTTGATTTGCCACGTGTGAAGACACAAGAATGTGAAAAGGAGACTGATTTAAATATTACAGAGAATATGTTCTGTGCAGGAGACCTGAGCGGCACTAAAGACTCCTGCAAGGGAGACAGTGGTGGACCTCATGCCACAAAGTACAAGAACACTTGGTTTCTGACTGGGATTGTCAGCTGGGGGAAGGGCTGTGCTGTTAAAGGCAGCTACGGGGTTTATACAAGAGTATCCAAATACATTGACTGGTTAAAGAAGCACATGGATTAGTGATATTAATTCAGAGCTTTTCTAGATTGTGTTATCGCCCTTTAATCCCATCTGTAACATTTTCCTATGAAAGCGTTCCTTGAATATCTTAAACATATGATAGCCACACCACTAATAATGATTTGAAACTAGTCTAATGCCTCTTTGAATATATTAAATAACTCCTCTATTGGTATTGTTTGTAAATTTGCGTGTCTTGTCGGCAGGGCACAGAATAACCACACTGAAAAAGACTCAGAGTCCCTTTCACTCTGTATCTCCTTTCTGATAATGGACAGAGCTAGCTGCTGAGAAAGAGTCAGTAATACATCAAGCACACCATGATCTTTCCTTCTGGTAATCAGTGATGTAAGGACTTCCTGAGCAAGAAGCTGCATTATGTTGAATAGTCATGAATGAACCCTTTCTCCATAAACGTGTGCAATATCTTTTGAACCTCTCTTATACTTCTAATTTTCTCACTTTCCTATGACAATACGTCCTGTAATATAATTACACAATAGGAAAGAAACAGAAAAAAAAAATTATCTTTTTTTAAAGTAGTCTCATCTTATAACTGCAGTGACAACAGGCAAATTTGAGAGGAAACACACCAAAGCAGCGAAAAAGTTCATTTCACTTTTACAGATCTGCTCTGAAAGCTTGAATATCGTCTTCTCGCACCAAATATTATTGCAATAAGGTTACTAAGTGTAATATTAAAACCTAGATTTGTGTATGGTGAAGAATACCACTGATTTAACTTTGCCTTTGCCTCAGTTTGTACTACTTAATATAGAATGAGAGCAAATGAAAAAGGAATGTTTGTTTAATTTGTTGTCCAGTATAGCCTAACAGTCAAATTGTACCCTTTGTCCTGGTGTCTAAAAACAGAAGAGGATATTTGTCTGACCATCTGCAAAAAGCAGGCCAAAGACAATTCTCTAGAGCCTTAGTGAACAAATGGTAGAACTCGAGGAACTCTGAACCGCAGCAGACTACACCATTAAAAATTTCCTAGCGTTAAGTGTGAAAACTGCCAAAAAGAGAGGGAGATGGTAGATAAAACTGATCATGAGATCAGAAAATAATCTAATGAAACCTTATGCTTTGGAATCATTCAAATCATGCTGAATATGAGCTCAACCACAAAAGCTTACCAGCAAGTAGAAAATTTATGATTGGCTGCACTCTATTATTAGGTGGAAACATTGTCATGCTATGGTACATATACACGGTAGTACTGTGCATTCTATAATCGGCATTATCAACACAGAAGAAGCAGTATATTATTCATATTAAGCACTTAAATGAATTGGGAAAAGCAGTAAATTCCAAAGGCTCGCGAACTAAGAGGTCTTAGAGTGTGAAAACATCATCAGAGCTTCTAGTTACTCCTAAAGAAATAACAAAATGAGAACCAGGTGGGTGCAGGGCAAGCATGAGGAAAGCATATATGCCTGCAGAAAAAGAATCCAAAATACAGAAAATCAGGAAAATTCCCAGAGAGAATGGTGACTAGCAGTAGCAGCCAGCAAATAAAACCTCATTTTCACTGAGACAAGGCACCCAGCATTGCAAAATCATCCCTTTAGATTATTTTGAACAGTTTTCACTTGTTCGGGCTCCATCTCATGATTTATTCGCTATAACACTTCAGTGTAAATACTGATACTTACGAACAAGTCATTTTGCAGAAAAAGGGCAAAACGCAGAAAAAGCAACCAGAATTAATGGCTGCATGGAGTGACTTTTTAATAATAAAGTCAGGTTTTAAGCATATTTTTAATATGTCTAGCCAGGTTAAAGAAATAAAGGAGATGATAGATAGATAGACAGATAAACACAGATCAGACAGCAAGCTCTAAAAGCACCCAAGATGTGAACTCCACAGCGCACAGAGACCTCAGAGGGCCCAACAAAGTGAAACAACAAAAAAGGGAAACCTGAGGCAAACTACCCTAAGTGTTTCCCCAGCGGTAAGCCTGGTTCGATGGGGGAGCCCCTTCCTGCCATGAGGCACTGAGCCGTGAGGCAGCAAAGCGGACCCTGGGATGGCGCACGAGCCTGAGGCCACCAAAGCAGGGGAATATAAAGCACTGAGTCGACAGGTCATGGTGTTGGGTGGGAATGGCGGAAAAGCAAGAGGGAGCTGCCAAGGGCTGTGGGTGTTTCGGAGATGGGTCAGTGGCCGCCTCGAGTGGGAGCCCAGGCCCCAGGTTTGTTTGCCCCCGCCGGCCTCACGCCAAGCCCCAACCCTGCCAGTGTCGGCTCGGGGACGGCTGCAAAGCCACTCGCAACCAAAGCTGTGTGCAGGCAGCTGGCTTGCTAAAGTCACAATTCAATTCCCCTCTCAAAAAGTGCAGTTAAGAAAGCAGACTTTCCTGTTTTCCAAAAAAAAAAAAAAGAACAAAACAGTCAAATCCCAAACCCCTCGTAGAGAAATCCTGCTGGCGGCTTCCCCCTCGTCCAGGGCGCTTCCGCTATTTCTGGGCAGGGTGAAGCAACACAACTT